ACTAGTGCTTAGGTGCTGGCAAGCTCCACCACCCAGGTTTCTCAAAGGGATGAATTAAGCCTAGAAAATGACATTATCTTCTCCACTGTGTCACTAGTTCAGGTAAGAGCTAGAGGCACGCATCACGTGGGGAAAACACACACTCTCCTTGGAAGGTATGCCTGGCACAGAACACTTGCCTAGCACGTATCCAGCCCCAATGCCCTTCCCTCCCCAACTTTGAAGCTTCATTTATTTATTTACTGGCAGGAGGGAGCCCTGCACCATTAGCACGTTACACCAGCTACATAATCACACTTCGCAGCACAGCACTAGAACAACCCACCGACCTATTAAGCAGCGTTCTACAGAGCAATACGAATCACACCTTTATCACAATGACAGTTTCATCCAGCACACCTTCCCTACGCTTCTTAAGGTAAACCAAAACCACCATGAGACATCGTATCTAAGCCACAAAAACAGAAGCACCACACTTAGTATGCCATCCTGCAGAAGTACGACAACTAATCCTTTCAGAGACTACTTGCTTTGGTAAGCTACCATAACTAGGGTAACAGAAGTAAGTTTTGCATAGGACACCAAAAATAACTAAAACAATTAGATTACATGGCAAGTAACAGCACAGAGTGAGGAACAAGAGAGAGACTAGCGCTCTGATTCAAGAGCAGCGTGACCACTCTTAAGGCGCTCTCATGCTTCCAGAACCAGAAAGTCATGGAAAGGTCCAAAATTGATTCAATCATCAAATTAAATTAAAAAAAAATATCAACACACACACATACATAGAGAAGTCACACTCCCAACTGACACACAGTGTTGGGAACCACAGCTAATAAGCAAAGAACAGCAGTTTGTGAAGGTTAAACACAGGGACAGAGAAGTTGATAATTATTGCTGTGGAACTGCAGGAAAGACCTCAATTCTGGCCCATAAGCTAGAAAAACGTGAAAAGTTTTATCATACTAATTCTTCAGTCAAACATGAATGTGCCCAAATCAAACAAGCCATACACACATACACATGCATGTAGATCATATATATAAAGACATACATACAGATCTCACGGTTACTACTCATCTTAGGAGAAAGCCAGAAAGAAGCAGCTGCCCCGCTAAGGGGAGGGCTGGTCACCTGCACAATCTTGGACAAGTCACAGCTGCCCAGCACTCCAGTTCCCTTATCATTCAAACAGTGATTACAAACACCACGCCAGTCCACCTGGGAGGGACACGGCTAACTTCCCCTAATCCTGGGGTCCCTGAAAACCCCCCGTTAGTTTAATACAATAAAAACTGGAAAATAAGCCGACATAGCAGGCATTAAAAAGCCCTACAATCAACTCACACGCTAACCCCCCAGTTATAAACTGAAGTTTCAGTTCAGCTCCCCCAAGCAATATAAACGCTCTCAAGATGCACCGCTGCAGCCCACCCACCTTTCGGGGTCCCCACACCAATACCGTTCCCTATGGCACCCAGACCATCACCAGCATCTCAGCATCGAGAAGCGCTGCAATGAGCTTCTTTTAAAGCTCCGCGTAAAAGCCACCGGTGGGATCAGCATCAAGCAAATAATAAACATGAACCAAGCGCCACAGCAGCGTATAAAACATAAAGAAACGGGCTAGTACCTATACCTGTCGCGCCTTCCATCTCGGGTGCCGCTGTAGCTGGTGCAGAGTTTGCTGAAGGAGACCAGCTTCAGGTCCAGCTCGTTCTCCAGCTGCCTCGCCTGCTTCCTGAGATCTGCGCAGGGCGGCCGAGAGCGGGGGACAAGTCACAGACCCGCCCG